CTTTCATAGAACAATGGTCAGTTTGCTATGCCTACGAGTTACCATGCTCACACCCGAACCACTTTGCACTTGCTTCATGGTTCAACTGTATCAGACGTCAAACAAAAAGTCAAAGTGTCGTAAGACTGGGGGGGGACGCTACGACAGAGCTCTCAACTCACAACCGGATGTCTCTCTCTCTCTCTCGACGTGCCATACCCTTTCTCAAAGACATCAGCGATCATTGCCTTCTATTTAGTTCCATCGATGATACTAATCTAAAACTCTGCGTGACATACGCCCAGTTGCCTCCAAAATTACATGCTCACTTTTGCTGTCTTTCACAGCGTCTTGTACCTCTAAATGTCCGTTTAACTGCTATATCCAGTCTCTTGTCCAAGAAATGTACCATGCCTTTCTCTAATTATTCTTGTTAATGTTCGTTTTGTACCTGCAATCCATAATACACCTATTTGTACTCACGTTGTCTGTCCATACATTTTTGACAGCCTAATTTTTTGTTATCTTGCTTCTGGCTTGCTCCGTAGGGTATTTGTAATTGTCCAGCTTTCATAGAGACACATAGACTCATAGATCTCCATAGGCTCATAAAGATCCATAGACTCACGTCGAGATGCAGACTTCACATCCACATAGGGGAACAGACCAACATATGTGATGCTGCAGTATTTTAATTCTCTTTGTCATTAAACATTTCTTATTTTTCAATACATATCTCATTTTCTGAAATATATCTTTTGCCAGTGTTCGTCTTCTGCTGATGTCTGTGATGCATCTTCCATCTACTGTTAGTATGCTACCTGGATAGTTTAAAAGCTCCACCTGCCGAATTTTGGTGTCACTGACTTGCACTTATACCAACATTTTCTATTGACTTCACCACATGTATTTGGTTTTTTGTGCCTTTATAACATTATCTTTTATCAAGCATGTTTCAACACGTTATATTATCTGCCTATCTCAGGCCGTTTTGACCACCAACAACTACCCCATGCAACTCTTCTATCTAAAGAAAACAAATGAGGTGGTAACACACAGAGCCTTGTCTGACTTCTCTCCTTATGCACGGAAACTCACCAACCCCCACATTAACTATCACAGCTGCTGTTTGCTCCCACTTTCCTATCACGCAAAGGTCTTTTCAATATAGATAAAAATTCGCCAGTTCAAATCCCGGTTCGTGGGTTGACTCATCCAATCATCCTTGTGCACTTGCTGAATTTGTGGAATGCCAAATTTAAACAGCGGCGTGGGGAGAGGCACAGGGGGAGGGATTGTAGAGCCTCGTCGTTTTGACCTATGGAGTCACAGAACACGATTTCAATAGCTGCAATGCACTGCGCTGTGTTCCACAGGTATATTTTAAGATCAGCGAACTCTCCCTGCCGCAGGGCTTTCCTTCAACTCGATTTGAACCAATTTCGGCTGGGTAATGGGATCCTTTTTTTATAACAGCTTCACGCCAAGCACAACTTGTCGCACGGCTACTGGAAGTATGCGAATTGCTCTCCCTCCCCACACCGAGACAAAGCGTCACCATGTGCAGTGAGAGCGGCAGTACAAGTAATGTGCCACTTTAATTGACCAAAGTGGGCACCGATACAATATTGCATACTTACTCTTTGGTTCTTTCGGTAAAGTCACGTAGGTAAATAAAATAAATTATAAATAAAAAATATAAATATAATAATACAATTCTTTACCTACGTGAAAATTAAAAATATATTTTTTATTTTATTTTAATTTTATTTTATTTACCTACGTGACTTTACTGAAATAACCAAAGAGTATGGATCCTTGCAGTCACGAAAACTTAAAATCTAGAATTACATACTTACTTTGTTTACAGCATGTGATCAGTTTCATGGTCTACGTGTAAATTATGACTTGACTAATTTTGTTCTCGTTATTTTCTTTAAAAACCACAACAACTGAAAAATGTTTCCAAAAGCAATGGTGCCAGCAGCTTGAGTGAACGTGAAGACGACAGGACCCAATTCACACGGATTGCGCTGTGCTGCCTACAGCCATGATACAGCACTGTTGTTTTTGAAGCTCTTTAAACTAAATTTCGATTTAAAGCTTTCGTGACCGCAGGGATTCATCTTCTTGGTTCTTTCGGTAAAGTCACATAGATGGGAAATAATAAAATAATAAAAATAAAACATAATAAAATAATTCTCACGACGTTTCGGCCACAACGCAATCAGCCGCCCTATATTTGGTGTTCATTCGGACGCTGTCTTTCCGACAGCCCTGTTCTTCACCTGAAGACGGCTGCTTGCGTTGTGGCCGAAACGTCGTGAGAATTTTATTTTATTATGTTTTATTTTTATTATTTTATTATTTTATTATTCCCCTTCTACGTGACTCTTTAAACTAAACACGTATGATTACATATTTTTGTAATATATTTAAATAAATTATAATCGAATTAGAATTTAGAATGATAACTTATTGAAATAAAAATGATGTAAAGCATTGGTGCAGTGGTTCGCACACCGCTCTGATCTATCCAGCAGTGGATAGATTGTGGCTATCTATCAGCGAGGAGACAATTCCCCCCGCTCACCATCACCAACCCTCACTGACAAGGGTGGTGAAGTATGGTCAAATAACCTCCCATGTAAGACAGCATTATGCCTTAAACCAGCAGTGGATTGACAAATGGCTACAAGTGATTTTATTTCCATTTGTTACTTTAAAAAAATACCAAAGGATTACATTACATTGCTTCCAAACTCTCAAGTAAATTGGTAATCATAAACATTTTGAAACAATAATCCTTCAAGACATGCCCACTATTCCAAACAGTGATTGATGGCTTGAGCAAATGTTAACCGGTTTGCTGCTGCTTCCACTGAGAGTCTGTCCAAATGACAGTAATTATAATTCCTTTTGCAGGACACATTTATTAAAAGTGAATTATTGTATGACTTCACTTGCTGGCCATTTATCGGCCTCCGCTCAACCATTATTCGAATAATCTGTAAGTACTCTTGGCAGTCATTGCCACACACTGTGAAGCAACGACGGCTTTCCTTCATAATGTCAGGGCGGAGGACCTTGTGGCAGTGGACAATTCAACATTGACGAAGCAGCTGGCTTGTATGCAACCTCACAGCAAGCAAGGCTACGCGGGGTCATGTGGATGAATGCGAAATCCTCAAAAACAGCAACACAAGTAAATCAAGGCCACCCACCTCTAAGTCTGGCTCCAGCTCAACACTTAAACGGCAATAACTTTAGTTCCAAATCTCCCAATGGAGTATATTGTACGCTACATCGAAGAGACGTACCCAATCGGAGCTAATTGTTCAGGTCAGATGATTGAAATTACACTGTTTAATTACCACGCAGTATATCCACATATTCAAATGTTGCATGGAAAATCCATCGAGATGGGGCGTCTCGTTTGCAAGGGTGTCCAGAATATATACTTGCAAATATGCGCACATATTCCAACAGGTATCTGTGCAGTGCTCACTTGAACTGGCCGTCCTGGAGCCAGTTGTGGATTTTTAACGTTACTTTGGTCAGGATCAGGATAACTATTGGACACCGAGGGTCGATTCGATAACCAAGTTAAACCAGCAAGGGGTGTTACTCATCTCTCGTATCAGTCTTGAGCCAGTGGCAGAAATTGCACATTCCTATAGCAGAGACCAAACCATCCACCTAGGAATGGCCTCCTAGAAAAGTAGTTTTCATTTTATCGATGCTAGAGCGATGTTGGGGAACAAGAGTACAGTGCAATTTGTTTTTACTACCTGAGTTTTTGTTTTCATGCTTGGACATGTACATCTTTATGTAATGTCCCGGTGAATGCAGAAAGTAATTTAATCATGCTGCGGCGAATGTTGTTTTTTCACGCTAATGACATTTCAGATTGATTATATTCAAGGTGATACGTGGCATCGGGTAGTGGAGGTATGAAAGCAACGTCATATAATTAATAATTTAGGGAGCTTAAAGTATCAATTATAGTTCCACACCCAGTATAAACTTCACACAATAATGCTTTCTGAGGTGGCCAGGTGACTCAGGAGTCAGAGCACTGAGCCGGTACCAATAAATTCCTGGCAGTGAATCTGTGTTCACGCCACCCCTCGTTACACTGTGTTCTCAAGTGTAGCTGATGGCCTCAGCCCAGTCAGAGAATGACTTCTCAGCCAAAAAAAAACACATTACACTGTTGTTTTCACTTCGTTTTGCTAACCTTCACATCGAGCTCGAAAAATATTAATAAAAATAAGTGTTTACTGTCATTAAAGCAAAGTGGCAGAAATGGGGAAAATTTGCCTGATAAAAAGGACACTTGAAGACATCTCGGAAGCAGTTCGGTGATGTCTATTTCTACGAGCCGAATTCTGAATAGACACTTTCTCTCCTGAGATGAAACTGGTAGCACAAGTGAAATACAATTGGGAAAGGGTAAAAACTATTTTAATGAAAAATAAAGCTGTATACCGTCTAAACTCTCTACAGAGGAAGTGATTGTGAGAAAGTGAGGTCAATTATAGAGGTACTGTAAAGCTCAAACTCCATTCCGCTTGTCTCAACTGCCACACATCCACCACCATTGTAAATACAAGTCAGAGAGTCAAAGTAGACCACTACTAAATCAATAAATATTGCAACACTCGTCTCTGCTGGTGCTCTTTAACTAGTGGCGGACATTCTACATTCCCATGGTGAGGCAGTGGGGGGGGGGGGGGGCAGTCAATGCGTAGCACAACATTGTTGACGTCCCACAAAGTGGTGCCTATTTTATCAACCGCAGAGGAATGATGGGCCAAGTGAACCCCCGACCCGGAGATTTGAACTCGTGTCTCTCCTACTCGTGCGTCGAGTTCTCTAGCCGTGACGTCACCTCAACGGGCAGCGCCAACAAGCCAACAGCGATCACATTTCCACCTTCTCTGACATTCCCTCTGCACACGTCAATTAGGTACCGATGCATCGCATGCCAATGTTGGCCGGGTTAAATTAACATCTGCTGCGAGGAGGATGAGGGAGGCGCTTTGAGAGACACGGCGATGCACTGACCCGTGATTCACAGGTGAGTGAGAGAGTGAGAGAGAGAGCCATACCCGTGTGCCAGGGAGCAGTTGGTGATCCTCTTCCACTAGAATCCTCGCGGTGTCTCACCGCGTGAGAGACACCCGGCTCCGATTTCTCACTCACTCAGCTGCCCATGCTGCAAGATCCGCTCTGTACAACAGCCAAAAAGAAAAACAATTACACCTGGGTGATTTTTGGGGGTTTTACACTTATATTCAGCACACTGGACTGGTTAGGCAGAAGTCGCTAGTTCAGTTCCTTCTCTCAGCAAGGCAGCTGGAAAAAGTGGGCAAGTCTCCGAAATCCCTCAACCTCGTGTCCACCCAGCGGCATAAAGAGGTACAACCAGAGTCGATCGGCAGGCGCGTGTGGTGGGAAGAAGTGTGGACACCCACCACCGCTTACACAATATCTGGCCAGCGTGGGAGAGTTCACCGACGTACCCTGTAGAGGGGCTCTCTCTCAAGCTCCTTTTGATGGAGGCCCTACCGCCGGCAGTGGTGCGAGCAGGCGATTGCAGGGCTGCGCCTTTACTGTTTGGCACTCTTTCGAATGAACATTCCGTTTAATCCGGTCAATAACATCTCAATCATCTTTTGCAATGCAAAGGCACTTAAATCGCCAACACATTGATTGCCATGCTGAATCCGGGCAGGTGGCGCTGCAGATAGAGTGCTTCACTCACGATTAGGAAGCCGTGAGTTCAAATACGGTCAAGGGGTCAACTGGACCCATCATCTCTGCTGGCTCGATAAAATAGGTATAATTTTGTCAGACGTCGCGGGTAGTTGTGCTCCAAAATATTGGTCCCTAATCTTAAGGAAAGCAGAATTTCCACTACTAGCCGAGAAACAATGCTAGGGATGAGTACTGTGCTCACTTTGCTCTGAAGACACATCTGATTTTAACAATTGTTTTAAATATTGGAATAGATTATCCCTACTGGAATGAGCATGTGGCTAGTACGTATTACTGCTGGTGGTCCTCAGATAGAAATTCTACATTCCTATGACAGACACCAGCTAATCTATCGCAAGTCATCTGTCACATTCTCACATACAGTGTTAGTACTTTATATAGGATGATACAACCGTTAATAATTTATATTGATACCATGAACGTTGCTAATGAAATAAAAATAAGTCAAAGTAAAATGTATGTAATATTAGCTATATATTTCCGTCCATCAATAATTATGTCCAACACAATACTTTAACGTTATTTACTTTTGAATAAACGATTAAATTGTGAATACAATACTGGAAATGATTCAAGGCTACAGTGAATTACGCGAGTTCCTTTGCAAACACGACTTCGTATAAAACAATATAAAAAAACATTAATACGATAAGCAGCAACCTCAACACAAAACGAAGGGACTGCAACACGATGTGTGTGTGTATACCACTTTACATTAAAAACCAAGACACACCGAAGCACCGACGCATTTCCACACTCTGCATCAATCCGAACCGCGACATGCCATCACACAAAAACACGCGCACAGCAGCGGCAGCAGCAGCAGGAACGCCAACAGGTCGCACGTTTAAACGCCGACAAACGTGAATTACGACTGCGATTATGCTCGTCGACAACGATGGGATGTATCCAACGTTACCAGCACACGGGCAGCTTCAACTCGACGCGAGCCGACCTCGACAACCGCGCACCCATTCCGATCCCAGCGGTCAGGTGCTGCTCCCGGCCAGATCGGTAAAATCACATCCGACGGAGGACGTATTCGATGTCAGCTTCAACTGCGCTCACGGTCGCGGAGGTTTATTTTTTTATTTTTAAATCGCTCGACGGATCTGTGCGCCCGCCCGCCCGGCAGGCAGAACAATGCACACGACGTGGAGAGAGAGAGAGAGAGGGTAGGGAAGGGAGGAGGTGTCGGTGGAGTTTGCCGCACGCGTGCACGAGAGAGGGGAACACGACCGCACCCGGCCAATCCCACTCTTGCCTTGCGTGCGAGTCGGTTTTTTTTTCTTCATCTTCTTTGTTTGTTGTTGTGTGTTTCAAAGTCGCAGTCCGGCTCAAAGTTTTACCGCCCGCTTGTGCGTGGTTGTGCGTGACCCGCCCGCCCCCCCCTTCGTGCGGGGCCTGTAGCAAATGTTGTAAAGGTGCCATAATAAAAAAAAACCACATAAATATTAAAACATATCCATGTTTAACTTGCATAGTAAAGTAATTGTATTTTTAATTTGCTATACAGCCAGATAATAAGACAAAGTCGCTAACCTTAAACACCCAGTCGTTCATAAAAGTTGAAGGCAGTATAGTACTATAGTAATAGAGCAAGTGCAGAATCACTGGACCGAAATTGATAGCTTGAAAGCATTTAGCGCGGGGCCCTTGAAAGTGAGGGGCCCGTAGCTACATGTGTAGCTACTTTTGCTACTAGGATAATCCGGCACTGACCCCCCGCCACCACCACCACCGCCTCTGATCGTGATTGCCGCTCCCTGCTTGAGTCGCACCGCGTGCGTGCGTGCGCGTCTTGTTTAAGCAACCCCGGGTTCAAGTGCGGAGTGTGTGGTGGCTCTTCCGAGCTGACTTGGCCAAGATCGCCGCTACATGCCCTTGCACCCACAGGCACGCACGTGTGGGGTTTTGATTCCTTTGAAAGACTGGTTCTTATCATCACGTACGTGCATCGCTTCAGAGAGATCGAGTGATAACGTGTTAGAGTCATCGGAGGAAGGGAAACAATTGTAGAGGGGGAAAATATATTCGGATCGTTGTGATGTTTAGTTCATATGAGCACATATAAATTGTTTTAACACTTGTTAAAGTAATATTTTAAATATTATAATACAATGTTGTATTATTATTTTGTATTCATCAAAACAACATTAGACAATATTGTTTGCATGAATACAAGTCCTTTTAAACTATTAATGTCACCAATTATGCTCCAGTATTCCTGAGTGCGGCATCGTTGAGACGAAATAAATGCCGAGCATAACCCTATACGATGAACTAAAAACGAGACACACACAGTGTCAAACCGACTGACCAAACATTACACTTTATTTTGGAGTTCGACCCATGTGTGCTGTATAATGATGTTTTCTCAACCTTGAGCTCAAGTTCTCTGCTCAGATTTCTCAACTCTTACCTCTTCCATCACCACTTGCTCAACAACACGCACCACCAACACCTTGACCTCTTCACTACTGACACCATCATTCATACGTTCATTATTTGTTTCCTTGCCGAGTACAATTCTCCTTTCTGTGAAATATATTGACCTCAGTTGCTTTTAGCGAGCAGCTGTTAAACGCCAGTGCAACGTGAGAATTGTGTGGCCAGAGTTCTACGCACACCCGGCCACCTTTATCCGAAGTCAACCTATGGAAAGTCCAGGCCAGCTTTACATGCCAAATACTGCTGGGTTTTTGTGTCACGACCAAGAATCGAACTCGAGTTGCTGGGATTAGCCCAATGTGCTAATCACTAGTTACGCAAAAATACAAAGGTCACCTTACAGCCCCACAGACTGTCTCGTAAAGTGTTAACAGTAAGCACTTATGAGTGAGTAGTGTGGCCACTACTACACACACACACCAAACAAGTTTTCCCTTTGCCGATATAGACACACAACGTCAGGCACCCATTTAACGCTGAGTAGACCTTGAGAAGATTCGGAACAGGTTCAGATGCCCAGAGGTGGGACGAAGTCATTGTTATGCAAGTCCAAGTCGAGTCTGAAGTCATCAAATTCATGACTCGAGTCTGACTCGAGTCCAAGTCACATGACTCGAGTCCACACCTCAGAGGTGGGACAAAGTCATTGTTATGCAAGTCCAAGTCGAGTCTGAAGTCATCAAATTCATGACTCGAGTCTGACTCGAGTCCAAGTCACATGACTCGAGTCCACACCTCAGAGGTGGGACAAAGTCATTGTTATGCAAGTCCAAGTCGAGTCTGAAGTCATCAAATTCATGACTCGAGTCTGACTCGAGTCCAAGTCACATGACTCGAGTCCACACCTCAGAGGTGGGACAAAGTCATTGTTATGCAAGTCCAAGTCGAGTCTGAAGTCATCAAATTCATGACTCGAGTCTGACTCGAGTCCAAGTCACATGACTCGAGTCCACACCTCAGAGGTGGGACAAAGTCATTGTTATGCAAGTCCAAGTCGAGTCTGAAGTCATCAAATTCATGACTCGAGTCTGACTCGAGTCCAAGTCACATGACTCGAGTCCACACCTCAGAGGTGGGACAAAGTCATTGTTATGCAAGTCCAAGTCGAGTCTGAAGTCATCAAATTCATGACTCGAGTCTGACTCGAGTCCAAGTCACATGACTCGAGTCCACACCTCAGAGGTGGGACAAAGTCATTGTTATGCAAGTCCAAGTCGAGTCTGAAGTCATCAAATTCATGACTCGAGTCTGACTCGAGTCCAAGTCACATGACTCGAGTCCACACCTCAGAGGTGGGACAAAGTCATTGTTATGCAAGTCCAAGTCGAGTCTGAAGTCATCAAATTCATGACTCGAGTCTGACTCGAGTCCAAGTCACATGACTCGAGTCCACACCTCAGAGGTGGGACAAAGTCATTGTTATGCAAGTCCAAGTCGAGTCTGAAGTCATCAAATTCATGACTCGAGTCTGACTCGAGTCCAAGTCACATGACTCGAGTCCACACCTCAGAGGTGGGACAAAGTCATTGTTATGCAAGTCCAAGTCGAGTCTGAAGTCATCAAATTCATGACTCGAGTCTGACTCGAGTCCAAGTCACATGACTCGAGTCCACACCTCAGAGGTGGGACAAAGTCATTGTTATGCAAGTCCAAGTCGAGTCTGAAGTCATCAAATTCATGACTCGAGTCTGACTCGAGTCCAAGTCACATGACTCGAGTCCACACCTCTGCAGATGCCACATGCTACCTGGTATGCATGGACAAGAAGCCAGGGTATTTGGATGACACCAATTGGGACGAACCATGATAAACAGGTGAGGGTGCAGCCCTACTCACGCCACACCTGGTGGAAAGGCCTCTACGAGAGGATATTAGGCCGACTCAGAGATTGAATCGATGTGGTGATTTCTCCATTCTTACTCCGGCGGGTCTTAACCATTACACCACGGGCAGCATCCCCGCCTAACCATTGTGCCTAAACGCAAACCACCACTCCCTGTACATTACACGCACACAGCCACAACAGGTTTCTTTTTTTCTATATCATATTTAATTCTGCAAGTCAGTTGACACAACCACAGCTGTATAGGTGTGGCCTCTGTGGTCTGTCTCAAGAGTTCACTTTTCTCTTGGCAAAGCCTGCGCCATGCAATCCGATTTTTTTTGGGAGCGCACCCGAATCTTAACGCCACGCCCACAAGCCACGGCACAAAGCCGACAAAAGGCTCGGAGAACGAGAGAGAAGGAAAAAATAATAATGCAAACGATGTATTCGCGGTAGAGAAAGGCCCCAAAGTTCACCTTGCAGGACACTCATTGGCCCCGCGTTTAAAAAAAACTAGATTTCAGTGCTTATTTTAAATCCGGTTTTTCGTAAGTGGTCACTGACACGCTCCGCCCGCGCTCCTCTTCGTGGATTGGTGGCATCGCAAGTGATGCTGCGTTACGACGCGTCCGTCTCGATTCAAGAAACTGGCAGAGTTAGTTGAGCGCACGAAATATTTATTTATCTCGTTTCTTGTAAAGTATACCGGCCAGGTGGCGCTGGGGTTAGAGCATTCAGCTCATGATAAACAGGCTGATAGAAAAAATTGCATGGAAAGGTTGACTCAACTCAGCATATCTCTGGGGTCAACAGAATAATACTACTTTGTGATGGGTCCCCACCCTGGAAAAGGTGCTATAAATCCGAAATAGAATATAATTTCCACAACTGGCTGAGGACTACTAAGAGAGATGACCACCAATCAATGAATACTCATTTGAGTAGGCACACAACTTCGACTTTGACCCGACTGGGAGTTAAATCTGTGCTGCTCAAAGGAGTTCCAGTTAGGCTTGACAATAAAACTGCTCGAAGTGTCAATTTAACATATTTACGAACCAGTGTTTAGACAATAAGTGTGGGAAAGCCAGCTATATGTCCCAGTAACACTCAGAACAGCAGCAGTGACCTAAGCTAACAACATTCTGCTCAGACAGATTATTGACAGACATGAGTGCAAAGAACATTAGGGGTTATTGACGCCTGTCTGTTGACACACGGACATTGATGTTGGTGTCAGCTTTCATAAAAAAAACAAAATCATACTTTTTTTCATCGACAGTTCCTCCGGTTCATCTGGCCACAGCAAAAAAAAAATCGATAAAAGTGTGATTTAAAATTTTGGCCAGGTGGTGTCTGTGATTCAGATGTGCCACTCGCGAGCTGAAGGCTCAGCCCATCGTTGCTTGGGCAAAGGAGTTGCATATTGTATTTGGTTTTTTACCCTTCTATCTGGCAACAAAACTGAAACCAATTATCATATTTTTTACTGGCAAATGAGGTTCCAATGGTGAGTTCCATATTGTGGGAAATCAAAAGTTGTCATTTTACGGTGAGACGATAATTTTTTTTTTAATACGTCTAAGTGTCTCCATGGCTCAAACTAGCAATGGGTTAATGCTCATCTACAATGGTGAACCTGAGCCAGTGGGGAAAATTCCACATTCCCATGGTGGAGACGAGTATATCCATCTAACTACTGACTACCAAAAAAAGTGGATTGTTGTTGTTGTATTGATAGTGGAGGGATGTTGATCAACAAGAGCCCAACATAAAAGGAACAATGCTGAACTTTCTACAAAGTCTTATGCAATTTACAATCTCCAAAGGGATAATGTATTGAGTCGACCCCTGACCC